ACTACTCTGAGGTTTTTGGTGCTAAGTGGCTGAAAATTGGTATCCTTATGTAAAATTGCCCAAGGAACAAGAATATGGTCACAGATTTGACCTACGACCGATATCTTGAGAAATACTTACCCAAAACGACCAAATTTTACTGAAAATACCCAAATTTTGGGGAAACGGTCAAAAATATTTTTTATCCACGATCCGTTGACGCCATCCTGTAGAAAAAGAGCTAATAAAGCCAATGAGCACACGCCCGGGTTTGTAGCTCAAACCGTTTAGAAGCTGTAAGGCGTCAAAGATGGGGGTTTTTTTTTAGGGGGCCTAAAAACCGGCACTTTTGACCTCTGCGCTCAATGTCCGGCACCCGAGCCGTACCAGCCATGATCGTTTTCGTATAGTTGGTTTCGAGGTGAGGTCTGCGTGCGCAATGGGAGTCAAGAAGAGGGTGAAGCGGCACAGCGTTTCTGAACAGCGTCCTCTTTAGAGCGCCTGAACAGCCGAGTTCACCAAACGGCGTTTGGGAAAGCACTCGTCGCACCGTGGGCGTGGGCTCGCTCAAGGCCACGAACAATGCCATTCGGTGTAGGGGAGAATGGGGCGATTTGTAACAGGGGCGATTCGTAACAAATGCGTTTATTAATTTAAGTGGAGGGAGCAGAGGAAAATCTGAGTATGGCCCCTCTTTCGCTTGAAAAATCGAAGCGGATGTGATCGGTGCTCAGGTTTAGTTTTGGAGGGGTCTGAAATATAGAGTACACCGAAATTTCGGGAAGCAGGCAAATCTTTTTTTTTGAGTTCTAGGAAGTTTCTGTCTGGGCTCCCCAGGTATGAATCACCATCGAAGTACCGTTGGGGCCTTGAAGCGTGACCCCTTTACAATGTAAACACGTGGCACAAGTTGCTTTTACTTTGTCCAGTGATAGTTAGGGACGTATTTCTTGCGTAACAGGCTTTTGGGGGTGATTCGTAACAGACCCGTATAAAAACAAGAATTTAGGAAGTTTTACCTGTTAAATGCTTGAATTATTTCTCGAATCATCTGCTGTTTTATTCCAATACATTTACACAGCTCGAAATGCATTTTAAAGCGAGTTATTCTATGCTTTCCTCTAAAATTGAAAAAAGGGAGGTTAGGATTGACATAGCCTATCAGTTAATGCTAAGGCGGTCAACGGCAGCTTGTAATGTAGATTTTTAGACGTCTGCAGGACACCCAAAGAACGACTGGTGGATGAGATAACATTCCCGACGATGTTTCATTTAATGTGTAGGATGTTATGAAAAGCCTCATGGCTGTTACAAATAACCCCATGCTGGGGCGATTCGTAACAGCATGAAAGGGGTTTTGGGGAAACGTTTTAGATTTCAAAGATTACGGACTCCAGATTGATCCAATGGAGCTGCACAGTCTAGATGAAGGGCCAGACTGCTCAACTGGCACAAGTATGACACCGATATGCAGAATGTTCTTAATTTTGTATAGAGAATTCCGAAATCTGTTACAAATCGCCCCATACTCCCTTAAGTCTAAAACTGTCGCCCTCGACAAGCTTCGGATTCTATTGGCTGCCCCTTCCTTCTCTCTCTTTCCCACATGGTCCAAAGCCGTGGCCCGCGACCCCTCAACCTGCCCCCAATAGGGTACTTTCGTAGAATCCTGAACCGGAAGCAGACGCCAAGCAGACGCCAAATTGGCCGGAAACTAACCTCTCTTCGGATCCAAAACTATGGCCGAGCTGTACAAATATTGCTCGCGAAACACATATGCACTGCAAACAAGTATCAAACGACTGTTTATGTTCAAGTGTGGCCGATACCTTTGACGAACGTCTCTTCCCATGTCAAGTTTGGATCTACTTCCGCCAACATGGCGTCTGTGAGCTTCCGGTTCAGGGATCTACGGAAGTACCCTATACCGGATATATTATGTGTTGTTTCAGATGAATTTCAAGCTTTTTGTCGGAAGCTGTCGCCCTTTGGTAAGCTTGGGAAGTTCTTCGGAATCTGTCGGCGTTTTCCCAGGCGGTTTTCACACTTGCAAACTTGCAAACCAACCGTCGGCCGCAATCTCCACCCCCCTCCTCTCTCTTCTTCTTCTTCCTTTCCCACGTTGCCAAAACCCCCGCCCTCGAACCCCCCAACCTTCACCCCAACACTGGATAACTTGTGTGTTGTTTCAGACGAATTTCAAGCTTTTGTTCGGTTATGGTCTCAAGCTATCGCCCTCAGGAAGGTTCGGAAGAGAATTGCAAGTCGTCGCCCCTTGCCCCTTCCTGTTTCCCAGCCTTTCCCAACATTACAACCCCCCGCCCTCGATCCTTCAGGGTTTGGAAAGTGTGAAAACCGCCGGGGTAAACGCCGACAGATTCCGAAGAACTTCCTAAGCTTACCAAAGGGCGACAGCTTCCGACAAAAAGCTTGAAATTCATCTGAAACAACACACAATATATCCGGTATTGGGGGCAGGTTGAGGGGTCGTGGGCCACGGCTTTGGACCATGCGGGAAAGAGAGAGAAGGAAGGGGGGAGCCAACAGAATCCGAAGCTTGTCGAGGGCCACAGTTTTAGACTTACACTGAATGGCATTGTTCGTGGCCTTGAGCGAGCCCACGCCCACGGTGCGACGAGTGCTTTCCAAGCGCCGTTTGGTGAACTCGGCTGTTCAGGCGCTCTAAAGAGGACGCTGTTCAGAAACGCTGTGCCGCTTCCCCTCTTCTTGACTCCCATTGCGCACGCAGACCTCACCTCGAAACCAACTATACGAAAACGATCATGGCTGGTACGGCTCGGGTGCCGGACATTGAGCGCAGAGGTCAAAAGTGCCGGTTTTTAGGCCCCCTAAAAAAACCTCCATCTTTGACGCCTTACAGCTTCTAAACGGTTTGAGCTACAAACCTGGGCGTGTGCTCATTGGCTTTATTAGCTCTTTTTCTACAGGATGGCGTCAACGGATCGTGGATAAAAAATATTTTTGACCGTTTCCCCAAAATTTGGGTATTTTCAGTAAAATTTGGTCGTTTTGGGTAAGTATTTCTCAAGATATCGGTCGTAGGTCAAATCTGTGACCATATTCTTGTTCCTTGGGCAATTTTACATAAGGATACCAATTTTCAGCCACTTAGCACCAAAAACCTCAGAGTAGTAAAGAAACTCCCAAATTAAGTAAAAAAAGTGGCAAATTTAGAAAACATTGGTTTTCTCGGCCAATAAATTTTTTAGCGACCTAATATTTTAGGATGTTTTTTCTTACCATAAGGGCATCTCAGAAAAAAAATTTGGTCAAAATCGGAGGGGGTCATGGGAAGGCGTTGCACGTATTAAATAAATTAGCTCAGCGTGGGTTAGTTTCAAACTCAACTCTTTTTGTGCATCGTCTTTCACAAGTGTGTCTCTCTATTTGGTTGCAGACCAACGCTTAGCGGGCAGGCATGTTCTCAAACTTAAGACGGAAATTGAGTACCGCAATCAGTTAAGCCTTACCATGGGTGATTTCCTTGATATCGAGGAAGCTCTCACCAACGGCTTGGTGAGCATAAATTGCATGAACAATAATTGCTCCCTTGAAAAATGTGTTAGTTATAATCACAGATGCTCTTGAAATGTTACAGGCCTGTTCCCTTAAATCAGATAGAAATGATTCGATGCTTGGTAGACCAGGTCCCAGCAATTCGGCGAATGACAAGTCCGAGGATTATTTGGTATGTAGGAACAAACTTTCTCTGAGCGTAGTGAAGCCTTCCACCTGCTATTAGTCTAAGAAGTCTATTACCTTCAAAAATATTATTTTTCACATGCATGTGTTTTATGTGTTTGCAGTCTCTTTTACATTCAAAAGACAAAATTGAAAATGTGGTTCCCACTGATATGGTGAGTATCCTGATCATTGATTGTCTTCTTTATTATTTGATCTCTTTTCATACTTTGTTTTAAAAATGTTTCAGTCCTTTTCTGATGAGGACACCACCAATCCTTCAAACATGGTAAGCATTTCAACCTAGGAAGACACCAATGTGTTCTAAAGCAATTGGACTATCTTTTCATTCATTTTTCTCAATTTTGTAGTTTTGCTGTTCCTCTGAAGAAAGAGACAATGAGGGTAATGATTTGGATGACATGAATGATTCAAATCACAGCAATGTAAGTATTAATTTTAAATTTTGTTCTTATTTTTTATTTTGCCCAGGACATTAATGCATTTGCTCTACTTTCAGGAAAGCTCAAGTAATGGTAGTGATAATATTTTGCTGGATCATTTGACACCAGAGCAAATAGGAAAGATGGCTTCATACCACAAACTTGTGGCTAAAACTCAAATTAAAAAATTTCAACAAAGCAGTTTCCCTAGGTGCGTAGTTGAAGAAATTATCCAAGTCATAGTTGATCATGTTGTTTCCCTTTCAATTTGACATGGTTGTATTTGATAGGTGTCCCCTGCAAAAAGCCAGATTTTATTTTTGACTCCTCCCCGGAGCCAAAACGTCCTAAGCGTTCAGGTGGCAACAAATCATCCACTGAACAGGCCAAGAAGGTATGGAGGTTTTTTTAATGTGCTGGTTCCTACTGTTTCCAGCAAACCTGCTTTATTCTCATCTTTTCGTCGTTTTGTTTTGTAATATGAATTTACTTTCAGTCCCAAATTAATGTAAATGAGTCACCAGACTTCAATGATGATGGTTCATCATGCAGGAGAGCAAGTTTACGTACTTTTTCAAACCCACGCAAGGTGATTGTCTTTGATGTAGTGTTTGTTGATTTCCTGCGTTGTACTTGTCACTAATTTTCTCTTGTCAATTTCTAAGGATGTCGAAAGTCATTCGTCTGGAGCCTCAACCTCCAAGACTATTGTGAATGTTCCTTCAGTCTCTAAATCAAATTTAACAAGACCATCCAAATCCAAGCCCAATGCAGGCGAATCATGTCTTGAACAGCCTGGTACAAGTAGGCCATCAACCTCTTCATGTTCAAATAGAGTGATATCTAAACAGAAATCAAAGGATGTAAGTAATCAATATGTTGTATATTGGCCACTGTTTCTGTTTTTGTTATCTAAATGTTTTTTTTGTATGGTTTGTATTATAGCTTTCCCAAGAAGGACATTGATGAGGAACATCGACCGTTCCTTGAGGCCCCTAACTTGGTATTTAAAAATAAATGTTGTTTTATGATACTACTTTTTATTTCATTATAGAAGCTTACTAATATATTCATTTACCTGACAGGATCGTTCACATATTGCTCTCATCAAGGACTTCCTCCAAAGTCCCATAAATTATACTGTGAGTAGCAGAAGTGTCACTTAATCATGCTTTAGTTAAACTTGAAACTACTTTTGCTTTCCTTTGCTCTTGTTACAGTATTCAATCAGCAGCATTATAGAAAAGGAGGAAGACTTGGAAAATGAGTGGATGTTACTGCAGCGGGATGGGGTTTTATTTGGCAAATTACTGGACAAAGTGCTTAGGTGTCTTGTAGACCACTTGTACTCTCTGGTTCCGTAAGTTCTTTTGGGGAAAAATGTTTAAAATTGTATTTTGAAGGTATTTTCCCTTTTTAAATTTTTTAAGTTGGTTTTTCCTTTTTGTCAGAAATCCAAATCTTGTGTCTCCAGAGATGAGGGAATCTCTTGCGGTGAGCTTGGTGGCCAGTTTCCCGAAACTAGCACAGAAGTCGAGGGAAGGTGAAACACCATGGGTAAGTGGCCATAGCTTAGTCATTCGGAAAGCAATGTGTCATTTCTCTTGAGGTCAACCAAGTCCGAATGCATCTTGAATGAACTGGTCTGAGTGTTTCATATTTTCTGTAATTACAAGAATGCAAATTGAACTGTTTTTTCCTATTTCTGTTTTTAGGGTTGGCTCTATGATCGTGCAAACAACATAGGAAAAATTGCTAACATTGTTCAAAACAAACAAAGGGCGCAAAAGGAAAAAAGGCTCCGAGGTGGAGGAACAGACAAAAGTAAGAAAGCTGCTAACAAAGAGAATCTTGTTCCAGACCTAGCATTATTGAATCAAATCCCTGATTCTGTCCTGAGCAAAGAAGTAAGTTTTCTGAGTGTGCATCTTGCAACTGCCCGGAATGTTTTTTGTAATTATGAATTATTTCTGTTTGTTCAGGCAAAGTTTCTCAAATTATTAGCTGCTAATGACACAAACAAGATGGAAATTATTGCAAAGCTCAAAGCCACTTTTCAGGAAAGGAGACAACTGATACTTGAGGGGAAATACACTGTCAGTGCTGTGACACAAGTTTTTCACCATTTAAGATCTTTCAGGGGAGAAATGGTAAGCTATATAAAGAACATACTTCTTTTTATGTAGTTGCAATTCTACTGCTGTTTTTATCTAAGTTTTTCTGTTCCAAGGTTGAACTGGAATTCAGAGGAATATTTTCAGGGAAAGAAAATGAATTCTTGATGCAGTTTTCAGATGTTGCATCAAAGTTAGTTACACTGGCAGAAGAGGACCCAGTTAAATACACTGACTGCCTTCCCTTCAAAGATAGTAAGCGTGCATTTCAAATGATTAAATCATGTAAATTTGGGCCTTGATTAATTCAAAATTTTCTTGAATTCATTTGCAGTCTGTTTGAACGCAATGTTGGTGCTCAAGAAATACCTCCCCAAACCTGTCAAATGCTATAAGTGGGAGAACTTAATGGATCCAGTTGGAAAAGTTTCTGACTTAATTGAGGTCTTGCCAGTAAGTTCACTCATTTTTTGCAATGTGTTAAGAGGTTTTACCACCCTGCTTTTCTTTGACATTTTTATATTACCAGGTTGGTACAAATGTTCAAAACAGCATTGAAACCAGGAGGCAGCTTGCGAAGATGGCCATTCAACCCTACCTTCTAGCAATAGGCACTTGTGATAAGGTGGAAACATATTTCATTGTATTGGGTGATAGCCAGTATGTAATGTTGCCCAGAAACACGGAAGCAATTCGGGCATTAGATTTATTATTTAAGGTACATTTTGTGTTAAATGTACATTACTGCCTAGCGTGGAAAAATGTGTATCGATTCATTGCAGCACACATCTATCATCTTCCTCCTGAAAACAAACGCCTCTCAGTTTTTACAGAGAAATGGTTGCATTTGACTAGCCTTTGAACTCTCTAGCTGCTTGACATTGTTTAGTTTACTTTCATGATAACCATTGGTTCATTGCAGCCTGCATTTATTATTTCCTACCAGAAGGCAATTATTTTCTCTTGTCAATTTTGGACTTATTTAAAATTATTTAGTTTATCATTCGTAACTTGATGAATATCTAATAAAGATGTTGGAACCTTTTTTCTTTTTAAGCAAGTTGTTATTAAACTCTGACTCGAATCTAAATGTGTTGTTATTAAACTTTGACTCGAATCTAAATGTTTGTGAGATAATTTCTAATCCTTCCTTTGTAATCACCCACCATTCTCTTCTGCGCCAGTCTGGCCTCTAAGGTATGGACCCTTGAATAGACAAATATCAGGCTTGTTCTTGCCGTTTTATTTCATACCTCATACCCTCAAAACCACAGCACTCAAAAGCCCTTGAACGGGCGGGCTCTTCAGCTATATTGTCTGGTTGGGTAACTTTCCGCGTTTGAATCGAGCGCGTAGGGGAGACATGCGCGCTGCCAACGTAACATTTAAAAATTAAAATCTTAGATGGTTTACTTAGGCTACTTAAGTTGAGTCCAAGTTCGAAATCGGGTGTTCCAATCAATCGACCTTCCACTAATGTAGCCATTAGAATGAGGTATCTCGTAAAACTGTGGCCAAGAAAGTAAATTTTATTGTGGTGGTGGTGGTGTTACTGGAGACTTCACCCTTCACCCCTCACCCCTCCGTCTCAGCCAGCATAAACAAGTTCATAACCTCATAACACATGAGTCAAGTGATTTGAAACTTATGGTAACTCTTGTGTACAATTTTTCTTTTAAAAAACTGTCGATGTTAATTTTTTGAGGACGAATCTAAGACTTTTGAATCAGTAAATAGCAATGGATATATTTGTGTTTTAGGACTCTGCTGCAGTGATGTGAATGCTGAAGAAAGACATTTCTGGGAACGACTGCTTTGAAATTGAACTTAGCCACTTGTTCACTTCTAGGTAGGTAAAGTTAAAGTTTTGATTAAGTTTTCACCAGCACCAATTTGCTTCATTTCCTTTTATTGGCTGAGCGATAGCGAAGCCCTTGCCGTGTTTGGGCGCGCTGAAAAGTGACTGGTCGTGCGTCTGTCTGTCTGTCTGTCTGTGACTTTGTACTCACCAATGATTCTCAGCAACTACAGTGGCTATAGTTTCAAGATTTCGTATTTAACGTCGCCTTAGTACCCCCCAACACGAGTTTGTTTCAAATCGTTGTTAAGTATCGATTGAAATATTCAAAACATACTTTTGAATCAGGTTATTAGCATGGTTAGGTTGGCAGCACTCAGCACTCACGAATTTCTCATACCTGCGGCCGCGGCTCTCAAATACGGGACAGAAACAAAGAAGCAAATAAAACAAAATAACGAGCAGAAGGGTTTGGAAATGAGATCGGCCATAGTTTTTCCACATTCTAGAATGATTAAAACCATTTTAGATTATCAACACAGCGAAATATGGAGAATGGCAGTGAAAATGATTTACGTGTTACGTTCCCCTCTCCCCCCTCCCCCTTTCGAGGGGAATCTTCTTCAGGTCAGTGCACTTTGACAGAGCAGTGTAAAAAGAATGTTTTTATTTTGACCTTTTGTATTGTGGGCATCTACTTGTTTCATTTTCTATAGTGTCATCCTCTTTTTTAAATTTTCATAGTAGAGGAAATCAGGGAAATGCATAAGTAACTTGTGTTGAAATTAGCAGGCATACTTAGTTTGGACTCAAGAAATACATTCTATTGCAATGCTGCAAGCTGACAAGAGTGCAAAAGTACTAACATGTGTTTATTAATAGAATCAATGTAGGGTTTGGTATATTTAATCCTAATAGAGTTTGATTTGATATTGGGTTCAAAGAGACGACTCAGGTTTTGAGCGGTGAGTGCATTAGGAAGGATTTAATGAGACGTTTCCTTTCTCTTCACTGAAGTTAATATAACTGGTATACCAGTATTGGACCTGAGTAAGATAAATTGTGTCGGTTCATTAAGCCTTTGGTAGCCTTGGCTTGGACTCTTTTGACGAATCATGGATTTGACAATAATTGGTCCCGCAAACTGGTTCAGATCAGCCTACCCTAGACTGACTCTCTTAATATTAACTGTGATAAGTATCCCAATCAATTTTTTTTATTCACTGGTTCACAATGAAAGAATGAAAAAAATGTTTCAAAATATTACTTATAAAATTGAGAATTCATTATTTAAAGAAAAAAGAGATATCGAATAGTGACCCAATCATACGAGTAACCAATTAAGCGATTCAATGTGGCAATTGAATGTTACTCGACTGAGGGATTACATTGGTGTGGCATCAGGGAATTGGTGATGACAGAGGGTGCTTCATGAAGACGTGTAGGAATGTACAGAAATTGATTTAGATAGTTTTTTGTAGATTTCAGAGTACTAGTCCAAAAGCTACATTTATTTCAATGCCAAACCTACACTTTCACCTAGAGTACGAAATTTGGGGCGAAATTTCTAATTTGAGAGTCATGGTTTTCTGCAGTTTTCAGTGCGCTGATTTCAATATTGATTTTAAATAGTCCCCAGACCCAAAATTTTAAACCCATTTTGGATCAAATTTTTTAAATTGAATTGCACATTTATTCTTGCAGTTTTTTTAGTGCTGATAGCAAAAATCACCTCCATTTGACATCAGACTTATTTTTCATCCGAAACGAGGTCATTTTGGACCAAAATTTTTAAGTCGAGTCTTTATTGTTTCCTGCAGTTTTTGGTGTGCTGAACTCAAAAATGACTTCCAAAATTTCCCAGACTCACACTTACCCGAATTTTGACCAATTTTTGGGCCAAAATTTTTAAAACGAGTTGACATTGATCCCAGCAGTTTTTGGGGTGCTATAAAGAAAATCACTCTCATTTCGACCCAGACTTATATTTTCATCCCCAAAATTTGGGCATTTTGGACCAAAAATTTTAAGTCGAGTTTTATATTTTTTCCTGCAGTTTTTGGTGTGCTGAACCAAAAAAGACCTTCAAATTTTCCCAGACTCACATTAACCGAATTTTAAACCAAATTTTTTACCCAAATTTTTTAAAACGAGTTTTGGGATTGATCCCAGCAGTTTTGGTGTTTGATAACGAAAATCACTTCCATTTGTACCCCCGGTCTAAAGTTCACTCAATATGAGTCCTTAAAATGCACATTTCGTCTTCTCAAGCAAAGTCCAAAGTGCACAAACCCTGTCAATTCGCATCGCTCAGCCACACTACGCGCCCAGACTGAACGGCGCGTACCCCTAGTTTATATATTTTGTTTTACTTTACAGCCATGCTGTACTGAGCTTCTTGTTAAGGCACGGTGCCTGGAGGCCTCCATAAATTTCAACAGCATTTGAAGGATCACAATCACTCATCTCCCACTATTTGTGCAATGTGAATGCCAAAGAAAGATATTTCTGGGACGACTGCTTTGTAATTGAACTTCACCACTTGTTCACTATTAAAGGAAGGTAAAGTTGAAATTTTAATTATGTTTTCACCAGCAGCAAAATTGCTTAGTTTCCTCTTATTTATCTATTTTTGTTTTACTTCACAGCCATGCTATTCTGTGCTCATTGTGAAGGCTTAGTTCCTGGAGGCCTTAATGAATTTCAACAGCATTTGAAGGATCACAATCACAAATCTAACTTTATTTGTGCAAACGGTAACTGTGCAACTGACAGAAAGTTGTATCATGTGAAGTCGTCTTTCATCCGACACCTTGAGGTGCATCATGGAAATCTGTGTGATGCTGTTGCGGAGTCTGAAGAAGGAAACTTCTATGAAGGAAACTCCAATGAAGGAAATTCCAATGAAGGAAACTCCAATGAAGGAAACTCTCTTGGAAATGCATCGTTTCAAGACAATTTTATTGACCCAGCTGTTGGGGAAGATAATGCTGGGAACGGTGATGTGGATAGTAATTCAAATGATGAAATGGACTACCTTGTTTGTGGTGAACAGAATGATGGTCGTGAAGGTCCAAATGATTTTAATACTAAATTGGAAGCAGCTGCTGCAACAGAATGGAAAACTGGTGAGAATGCAGGGGCATATTCCCAAGCTGCTAACATAGATGTGGTGGCCAGCACATGTTTTTGGCTGTTTTGTGTAGCAGAGGTGCCTGACTATGAGACTTATATGACCTGCTTAGGGCAGCTTCACCTAGTCCTAAAATCAGGGTCAGGGAAGGAAAGGACCATTACACTACTAAGAGCAAAACATGAAAGAAGTATTGACAACCTATTGGCTAATTTGTCAGAGTGCCCTAATATCCACCTTCCTCCCTTTGTACTAAACATCAGACGTTTAAAAGACTCTGTGGCTGCCTTTGCAAGCGCTCACATAAATATTTCGCTCAGTTTTCTCCGCCCACTTGGAAGCGCCAAGTTTATCCTCCATATGAAAGATGTTCAGGCTGTTCGACTGAATACGATCTGCCGGCTCTTTGACTTGGAACAATATATGTTCCGAAATGAGCAACCTGAAGAAAAGATCTATCAATCTCTAATACTATTGCATCAGGTAATTATTAGAAAGCCAAACATATTCTCAAACACTCAAGGGGTTATTGGGAATGTCTTGGACGTGAAGCTTCTGCCAATGAACTGAAGAGTCGAACAAGTGCTTTGACCTGTACATAATGGTTAGTTGTAAGTTTCCAGTATAAGCCAGATATGTCTTTATTTATTTATCTTATTTATTTGTTCCCCAGTTGAGAGCCTCTTAGATGTAAGAATGTTATTATAATTTAGAGTGTAACCACTAGAAATAGCGCAGCTTTAGGGGGAATAAGGTTTAGTACCACCTAAAGTGCATTCAAGTACCTGACCTAACTACTACTGGAGGAAGGTGAGAGCAGCCTCGAGTAGCAGTTCAGGACCCAAATTCGTGTTTTTTCTCCAAAAGTTAAACTAAAGTTGGCCATATCTCGGGCAAAAATTTTTTGCCGGGCCTAATATTTTGGCTCTAGACTCTCCTTTAGTTAGTTATTGAGCCTACAAAAAATCAGGCCAATCGGAGAGGGTCACCGGAAGAAGTGGCCCGTCTTAGTTGATTTTGCTCTCATTGAAATTGCACCAGATTTGCATCGAGCTGTCGTCTGCAAAGAATAC